TACTATAATATAATAATATATATATATACTTTAATATGTTACTTGGCACCAAACTAAGGGTAGTTGATCAAAGTCATCGTATATTGTTTTTGTTAGGCTTTCCTGACGCGCACTACGCCGCCCTGCATCTATACGTGCACCATCTACAGGATCCTTTCTTGCGTTTCTGGACCCGTTTTGGTTTAATTACGCGTATCATTTTGTACTGCATGAGTGAACAAGTCTGTGTGTCTGACACTTGGAAGCTTCTCTTCGTGTTTAAAAAAACCGTAATCATGCTAAATACGGATTACTCTAAATACATCCTCAGTCAATTTATATATATTTAAATAGAGTGTGATGACGTTAGTATAACAAGGCGCACTTTGCGCGCGCTTTTTCTTTCCCCCTTTCCCCCCCCTCTGCTTTCTCACTTTTCCCCCTTTCCCCCCGTGATTTAATCCAAAGTGCTCGCTGCGCTCACACCTGATATATTCAAAAAAATCGAAATTTAGCATATTTTACGGCTCGGTCCTGTGTAGTAGATACTGCGAAGCTTGTCAAGCTACCCGGAACATACCCCCTAGCGCAATGCATCGAGACGTCATCCGAGTTGGCAACGGTTATCCCACAGCCGATGAACACTGCACACCCAGAGCTACGAGATGCCGTACTGGTGAGTGAACAGGTTCAGTCAACTGGTGATGGTAGCGCTGGTGCGAGTGTACTATACATCTCTCTGAGCGATATACGTGCGCCGGTATACAGATTAAAGACTATGGCTATGCTCAGTGCTATGGGTCACATACAGAACGGCTGTATCGGGCCAGAGAAGGATTGTGCGACTGTAGCGAAGGGTCTTAATGTGACACAGAGTGATCGCCCCGTTCGCGATATCGGTGCACCGACATCAACACCAGACGGTACATGCACGGTGCTTGATGGGGCTACGGCTGCCTTGACGCAGGAGTTACCCACACCAACACCCCCAGCAGAGACCGTAGGCGACCAAAACAGTGGGGAGGGAATGCACGAGGCAAGCCCTGTGCGAGATAGCTCAGCATCGGTTGACCAGAAACCCGAATCACTACCTAGCGTGACCACATCTGTGCCAAGCGATGGGGATAGCCTAGCAGTTGTAACAGTTCCATCACACGCGCCTGTGCCTGCTACGGTTCTGCTAGCGTCCTCTGACGACAGTGGGACCTTCGCCCCAGAGACACTGACACTGACACTGACGTTAAACGCGATCTCAGAGGGTAACGCGAGAGCTATTGGACAAGTGCCTGAGATAGAGAGAGGCAATAAGCGTTTGCATGACGATGTATCGCCGGAAATCAGCACAGGTGAGATACTTCTGATAGAAGAGTCTTTGGTTAGAGAATTGCCTGCACGATAGAGGATTCTTTGGTTAGAAAATTGCGTGCACGATAGAAGAGTCTTTAGTTAGAGAATTGCGTGCACGCTGATGGGCAGGGCAAAGTGTAACGGCGTTAGTTTAGCCAGATGTTGTGGACCTATATGTGTGCGTGTGTGCAGGGCTATCAAATGTAAACTAAGAGACGGTTGTTGGGGCGGTTCTGTAGCCCTACTATGGACACTGACAGAACATGTACAACACTCGCTGGCTCTCTACAGGTACGTCCCGATCGGAATCCATGGAGCCCACCGGAGGGGTGCACACAAGTTCATTCACTTCGACAGGTACATATTTTGTTATGCTTAGCTGCGCGGATGATTCGTGGTCTTTGTCATGTATATGTTTGACATTCTCTCTAGGATGTACGGTCTGCGCATATCCTGGGCATAAATCCTTTCAATGACCTCTCCCTACACAGACGGCGTTTCATCAGTCGCAAACGATAAGTCCCAGAGTGAACCGAGTGCTGCATTAGAATGCACCGCCACTTCTGTAGCGGAACCAGCCGAAGGTAAGACATAGTCTGTAGAAACCTTTAGTGACCAGTGGCATAGCCGTAGTTTTCACAGGACGAAAATAAATTATACATGTGCAATACGGAGGTATGGGCAGATATAGATGTCACACTATGTATAATACACACACACCCACCCCCATACACACACACACA